GATGCATACTATGTCTTTGTGTTAGTCTCCTATGGTGCACCATTCTTGTGTTTTCAATACACTTTCTTGGATAAAAAAGATACATATATTCCGAGTAACTAGTCATAACTTATTTCATCATTCAATGGTCAACATACAAATGTTTGAACAGATAACGAATGGATACGTTATGAAAGACGGTGCATGTCATTTCCATGCATAGTATGTCTTTGTGTCAGTCTCCTATGGTGCACCATTCTTGTGTTTTAAATACACTTTCTTGGGTAAATAAAAATACATATATTCCGAGTAACTTGTTATAATTTATTTCATCATTCAATGGTCAACATACAAATGTTTGAACAGATAACGAATGGATACGTTATGAAACACGGTGCATGTCATTTCCATGCATTTTATGTCTTTGTGTCAGTCTCCCATGGTGCACCATTGTTGTGTTTTAAATACACTTTCTTGGATAAATAAAAATACATATATTCCGAGTAACTAGTTATAATTTATTTCATCGTTCAATGGTCAACATACAAATGTTTGAACAGATAACGAATGGATACGTTATGAAACACGGTGCATGTCAGTTCCATGCATAATATGTCTTTGTGTCAGTCTCCTATGGTGTACTATTCTTGTGTTTTAAATACACTTTTCTCCTGAAATACGGTGCATGCCATTTCCATGCATATTATGTCTTTGTGTCAGTCTCCTATGGTGCACCTTTCTTGTGTTTTAAATACACTTTCTTGGATAAATAAAAATACATATAGTCTGAGTAACTAGTTATTATTTGAAGTCATTCGTTGGCCATCATTCATCATTCAATGGTCAACATACTAATCTTCGCACAGATAACGAATGAATACGTCATAAAACCCAGTACATGTCTTTTCAATGTATATTACGTATTTTTGTAGTTTTATCTACGATGTAATATTCTGGTGTTTTTAATAATATTTCTTGGATAGATAATACTTGTATAATTACTTGTACATTCGAAGTAACTAGTTACAACTTAGTAGCCGAGACAGAACAAGTCTGTATATTTACTCTCATATTTTTTACTGTTAATATGGGTATTCATAACATTTCCATACACATTCCCTGAAAATCTAACAGAAAATTTTACTAGTTTCGATTAGAATTTATTAGTTAAAAAGGGAAACATTTCATTCTAAAAGGATGTGTCTGGGTATATGCCCTTTTGGTCCCTCAGTCAAATGTATGTGAAATATGGTTTTTATTACTGTCCTAGTTATATTTAATAAGTATATTTACTTTTTCACGAATTTTGATGCATAATTAACCCCCTGCTGAGAGTCAGAATAAGCATCTCATCAAACAAAAAAATAGTCATTATCATAGAAAAACACCAAATGGCAACATGTATGACATACAAAGAAGAAATAACTTAAGACCGATGAAGAATTAAAAAGAAAATCATATTTTTGAAATATATTTAAGGATTAAATTTTTTTCAAATTTTTGAATTTGAAGGGGGAAAAACAAAATGGTTGCCATTTGTTGTAAGAAATATCAGGAAAAAAGTTGCTTCACTTTTTGTTTTCACAATGAGCACAGTTTTCCGGTTTAGGTTTTTTGACTGATTCTGACTCTTCATCACCAGGGTCATGTATAGAGATTATAAAATTGAAACCAAAATGTTGTGCTCAGCATGAATTTGACTGAAATATGGGTAACATCACCAACACAATTGAATTCTCAAAACTGGATGCTCAGTAACTTTGAGTGACTATAATCCCTTGATTACTCAGATAAACACCAATTCACTTATCCAGAAATACCATTCAATGTCTATTCAAAGAAAGTAACCAACGTTTTGGAAGATATGTTTCAAACTTTTTGCATAAATAATTCACTTAATATTTGCCATTGATTTATTTTTCAATTCTGACAAAATGATATGCACTGTCTTTGATGCCAATATTCTTCATCAATTGTGATACAAATTGATATTTGTGTAATCTCAGAAGAAGGATAAGATATTGAAGTTTAATAATATGTGTGATTGAGTTGGTTTTTCAGACATTACAATTTTCAATATTTTCTAAGTCGATACCCAGACTCATTCCAAGACTCTTCCTTTTGCCATTTTGTGCAAGAAATTCCACATTTTGACGTAAATAATATTTTTTTAAAAATCACAACTTTTGGTGTAATAATTCCATAATGAGCACATGTTTTCTTAATCGACCCAAGTTTAACTGTATTTTCTGTATATCAATTATACTATATTGTATATGTCATTAATAACTTGGACTTTAAATGAATTACGTAAAAATGTTGCATTTCTCGCACAAAATGGTAAAGTTCGATTATGCATCAATCAGAATCAAAGCTTCCCAATATTTAAGAAATACTTATGATTTAAACCAATAAAATTCTATGTAAGGATTTCTTCGTGGAATATGTCTGCAAAATGTTGTGACTTTTTAATTATTAATTCAGCTTTAATTTCTTATAATTATATATAGTATTATTTACAAGGTTTTACATGACACCCATGTTGGTGTATACAATATAAAGAATATCTTGTTTTATTAATAGGCATATGATTATCAGCTGATCTATGGTGAACACTAAGACTAACTAAAACACATTCAAAAGAGGGCAGCACAATAAAAAACGATGCTTGATACACTCAAATCATCCAACTACAACTGACTTCCGACATGGAAGTGTGAACTCAACTGTGAACATGTTCACAGTTGAGTCAATACAATGATGCATTAAAAATATCAAAATTAAATCTTGAATACATAAAGAACAATCAAAAATGCAATGTTAAGACAGATTTATGTACCTAGTCCATGGTATGACTTACGAATATAAAGGATCCGTAGCACACTATAGCGCAGCAACATTTGAAGCAATATTTATGGAGGTGCATATGTCTTGATTCTATTAAAAGACCATTTTCTGAAAAAACTTCCGGCTTTCGGGTCGAAAAATGTATTTCATCACAAGGGGTCAAAAAACGAAAAAAAAATACTTAGATTATCATAATGTAAAAATATACTATACTTTTACTATAGATGTCGGTGTTTAATTAGTGTAATTACGCAAGTGTATTTTTCACATTTTGTGGAATATTTAGGGAATTTATGATTTTCTTCCCATTTAAATCATTCTATTACCAAAATTATTCCATATAATCGCAAGGGGTCAAACAACAAATTATTGTTCATGCTTTATAAAACATAATCCAATAGCAAATAGATAAGATTTATATCTAATTAAATGTTACAGAGGTATTGGAATGTTCATATATTCCAAGGGCATGTCTAATAATCAATTACAGACATTATGCAATCGAACGCCTTACAATTCTTCCTCGACGTTACTGCTGGCTATCATCAAGTTTTCTGATGGTTGTTTCTTCTTTGACCTTACCGCTGGAACAATCAAATTTTAGGAAGATAATGATAACGATTTTTCTCAATTATTCATGAATTCGACCAAATCTTGATGGTTGTGTTTTATAAGCAACTGAGCTATATCTAACTACGAGAAAAAGAATTTTAGCTGTAGTCCCAATTAGTCAAGGAAGGGCAATAGGCCCTCCTTGATAATGTTCACCGTTCCATATAATGTTCACTGTTCCATATCTCAAAACGTATTGAGACCCATTTTGGGAAAAACTAGCATAATTCAAGCATCTGTCATTCTAATATAAAAGTGATTCATTTGTAGCATTTATCTTATTAATACCTGAGAAACAATACAAAACGTCGAGACACCGATTACATAATTTGGGGGTATTTATAAGAAAAATAACCTCAAACTTATAGCTTAGAAACCTAAATAATCATTTTGTATTATTTTCTGTTCCATTGTGTACTCCAAATTGAAAAAAATTGGCATTTTATTTTTTGGTAACTTTTGACCTCTGCTAATGGCAGGCATAATTCAGCCAAAAAGCCGGAAGTACATGAAACGGTTATAATAAAAATTATTAGGGGACATATGTAGGTATATTAATGATTGGTCAAATATCGCTGCGCTATAGTGTGCTACCAGTTCCTTTATTAGACGTCCTAGAGATGCCATACTATGGACTAACCTTTGAAAAACTTTTTTCAGGTCAGGTATACTGTTTGATATAAGGTCACTGATACCAAAGCGACCTATATTACAAAATAATTAGTTATCATTGCTCAATATTTCGCTAAACACTTTGTATTTGTCATTATATTCTAGCACTATAAAAACATTCATAAATTGTACTGATGTAAATAAAATAAAGATATATATTATAAATCACGGGTGATCCACTCGGCTGCGCTGGTTACCAAAACGGTTCGTTTTGGTAACAAAATGTCGGAACATCGAAGGTACGATTTTTCTTTTTTCCTTCTCTCACACGTTGTAGGCAGAATTCCCATGACTTATAGCAGTATGATATGTTAAGAAATTGTACATATTTGCGAACATACTCGTATATAGTTCACAAGACAACAGAATCGTCATTTTATTCGTCACTTAACTTACAGAAACGGTTTAACAGAAAACAGTTAAGATCTGCACTTTTAGCCAGTACCGTTTATGTAACTTAAGTGAGGAATTAAATCGACGATTCTGTTGTCTTCTGAGCTATTGTTTCGCAAACATGTGAATTTTCTAAAACATATGATACTGATACACGTTTGTGAAAATAAATGTCGGGGGAATTCTACCTACAACAGGAAAAAACAAAAATCGTACCTTCGAGGATCCGACATTTTGTTACCAAAACGAACCGTTTCGGTAACCAGCGTAATCGCGAACGTAGAAATGTAACGGATGCTAAAACTGATAGACCGTACGGTCGCCGTACGGAAATGTGACTGGAGTGTTACGTATGCCTGAGTCACAATTACTCCGATTCATCGAGCGGCACCCGGCTGATCAAGTATTTTATTCAAAATTGTATTATATTCTCAGCAGTTTTCAACAACATACTCAATCGGACGGGCGCCGGATGATAATTTGAAGCAAATGTGACCCAGGTATTAACAACTAGTTTATTTGGCGAATGCACACATGTTCGATCAAATAATGAATGAAGGTAATACTAAAGACTTTAACGTAATCCATTTTCATGCCATTAGTCGTTCTCCCGCTTCCGGAACCTGGAACAATACAATTATACGATGTGACTATTTAAGTGAGAATATTGTTTTAAGTTAGGATGAAGTCGTGAATCTACGTTGAGTTATCAATTTGCATAATATAGGATCATGCTCTTAAATACGTTAAGATTTTTCATTATAATCGTATAAACTATAACTATTTCAGGAAAATAAATCCACTCTTTTTGGAGCGATGATCCCACTGAATCAAATATTAACGTAAATTAATTAACCATCATACATATTTTCACAAAATATGAAGGACTTCGGCCTCATTTTTCTGAACATTTTCTCAGATAGATAGCTCGATCGGTGGACAGATGGACGGGTTACTAGGGAGGTTAAAGCACGCGTTTTACGAGAACGTATACGCAAACGTAGACCATAATGACCCTCAGTGATTATTGCTCACTTCTTAATTGTTTTTCCAGGGATCTCAATACCCCTGTTTCCCCCCGTTCATTTATACTCAAATGGGCAAGTACAAATACCTTGCAAGTGCAATGCAAGTCCCCTTGAAATACCAAGGGGAGGTCGTATCCAAACATGAACTTAATTTAACACGTTCACATCCAAGGTGAAAGTGTGTAGCTTAAAGGAATATTCCTTGCCAAACCATCTCTCTCCTCATATGGTAGCTATAGCCATATGCTTGCCATGTTTAGCAAAACACGCAAAAATGTTTTGATATGGTCAAATTTGCTCACTTAGAAATGTGATGCTCAATTCCAGTAAGCTGCCATCTTTTAAAATTTCACACAGGAAGTGATGTCATCGACTCTCAACTTTGCATATAGCATTAGGTGAGGAGCTATTAAGAATTACAAAACCAGCTAAATATTCTTTTTCAACTTTGTATCCTATTTTATCCTTCTGTTCAAATCTCTTCTTTTATTCTAAGTTGACAAGCCCTGAAAATATTTTTGCACAGAAAGTAATGATCACTTGTCTAGAGGTGATTTTCCTATACTGTTATGGGCAAGGTTATAGAAGTTGAGAGTTGATGACATCAAATCCTGCAAGAAAGCTCCTAGTTCGAAATAAAAAATTACCGAAGTTCTGCCACTCAGGTGTAATACTTTGGATGGAGAATGGATATTTGTAGACTTTCAAGAGACTGTGATGGAATGCATGATCAAGACAACATATTATTCATTAAATAGATAATATGAGTACTTTAATTTATATTAATTAATTTGATTTTATTAATTTATATATTATCTGGTGTTCTGTAAACACCTGTGTATGATACCTTATCTCAATTTAAACAAGTACAGTTTAATTGTATACCTATCGTATTTTGATCACCAGGATTTGTAGTTAAAGTTGTGTCAAATGCCGTCGTAGTTGAAGTTTTTGTATCACCAACCATGGTAGTTAAAGTAGTTGTATCACCAGTTTTGATAGTAGGAGTTGTTTTGTCATTAGGCATGGTGGTGATGGTTCTCTTATCTTCAATCGATACGTTACCTTTAGGCAATGCATCACACTCAACTAGTAAAAACAATACTATATATAGCACGAGGTAACACATCTTCATATATACGGATAAAAGGAAAGAGTGATATGTTTGCAGGATAGAGTCATACTATGCCTGTTAAACAAAACCCAGCTATCACAAAGTATAATCCAACGTGAAAAGAAACAGTGTATATCTACTGCCCCTCTACTATCATACATCTTCCATTATAACAATACAGGACCATAACGCGAAGTGACATTTCATGATCATATATAAAGAAGCCATTACAATACTGTATATGCTGAGAAATAAATTGATAAACCAAATGCTCATAATCTGAGTAAAACCTTCAAAATTGCCACCAGAAAACAAAATGGCCACCCACAAGTTAATGAGCTCTAGAAGTTGGAGAATTTGGAGAAATATGATATTTTGTTGGCCAGAAAAGGGTTATATTTGTGATACTCCCCTTCATAAGTTTGGCAACCCTAATTCCCCCATTGGAATACGCGTTAAAGTCTCTTTATTTTTGGAATCTTTGATTGCATAACCTATAAAGAAAAATACTTTCAACTAAGGCTGGAAGTATGAGTTGACAACATTTCCAATTCCTCAACTTTTTAGTTCACATGGTGAGCTATTGCAATCACTCACTTGACCGTCGGTCTGTCAGTCTGTCCGTCTGTCAACAATTGGCCAGTTTTAAAACCTCTGTCAATATGATTCCCGTTTTAAGTTATTTTTGTTCAAAATCAATATAGAAAACCCCCCATGACTCCTGGTTCCAAAGCTCGCCTATTTTCAAAATGGCCGCCATTTTTGTCTTGCGGAATTCACTTTTGGACCATTTGCTTTAAAACCTGTGTCGATAGGATTCCAGTTTTAGATTATTTTTCTTCAACATCAATACAGAAAACTCCCTTATGACTCCTGGTCCAAAAGCTCGCCTATTTTCAAAATGGTCGCCATTTTTGTCTCGTGAAATTTACCTTTGGCCCATTTCCTAGCTTTACAAATAATTCCAGGTGTCCTACATTCTAAAAAGCCATGTCACTGTAAAGAGTAGTTGTATGAAATAATTTTGTTACAAATAATAGGCAAAAATTATATCTATTATTTTTATTTATTGCTATTTTAGCCATCATTCACTTTTGAGCAACACCATGTGAGCCCAGTACCCAAGGTATTATTTATTCATTTTTTTACCTTTTACAGTTGGTCGAAAATCTATGACAAATCTGGAATTTATTTTAGAAATCAGCATTTCCGTGTTAACCAATGGGAAATGGTAGGTTTGCTGCAAGTCATGTGGCAATATCCTCGAAAAATATATTGCTTTTGTAGATAATGAATTTGCTTACTTTTTAAAGAAAATGTTGGCATGTTTCTACAGATTCAAAAAAGTTAAAGGTCTACAAAGTCAAAGAGAAACCTCTCCCATTGAAATAAAATAGGAGTCGAAATGATTTTCAAAAATGACTTTACCTTAATGTTCACAAAGTAAAAATGTTAGTAAACAAAAGTTTAGAAAATTCAATTTTCTATTATAGAAATATTTTTGATGAATCTTTTACTGAATTGATATTCGGAAATCTGATTTGTGCCTATCATTAGTTTACATGGGAAGGTCGATTTTCAAAGATTTATCAAATTGTTTATTAATTTCGACCTATTGTAATTTGGAGGTATGGGAAATAAAGTCAAATTATATGATACATATCTTTATAAAGGAGGGGGGGGGGTTGTTTGTAGAATGAATCGGGGGAGGTTTTTCATGCATTTCAAATGCACTTTAAAACATAATAATATTATTGACCAGGCCATATAATCCCAAAACTATTTCTCATTTTCAAGGATTATTTATGGATTAACACCCAGGTATTTTTATTTCTTTAGCATCAGAGGGTTGGGAATCATTGATAATCAACGCTTTTAAATAATATAAATGCTGCTTTAAATAACTTTTTATGAGTTTCATGTATGCCAATAATTTCTCCAATTGTGTAAATTGTACATATTACTTAATCCCTAGAATTTTCCCATAGAAATCCAATGCAGTTCCAAGCATATTTTGAGTTAACAGGAAAGTAAATCTTTAATACACACATTATTTGGTTGTTTTGGTTTATATCGCAACCCAAAAAGGTAGCCACTTGTTTGTTCAATGCTTCCAATTCTGTAATATTTAGATGCATACATATTCACAATTGTGTTTGCTATTGTGACGCATCGTATCATATTAGAATTATGTAAATAAGATAGTATGTTATTAATATCATATTAACCTCGGAAAACGTTGTAATAAAATGACAATGCAATGATAATAAAATATTGTAAAAATGCCAATTATTAATGATCAATGTTATAACTCTTATAACCTCTTTCATCAACTGCTCTGTATGTTGCCAAAAACACTGTCGCATTGTTATCAATGATACTGAGCTCGACACGTAGCCAGGGTCCAAGAGATTTAACAGCACGAGGAAAGGATGCTCCGAAATCATCACATAGTGGTTGGTCATCAATTCTCCCTGTTTCATCTATTATTTTCACGTAGTCATAGATACAACCGAAGTCAGTGTGTACTTCATTGAAGACCAATTCAATCACCTAAAATTACAATGGTTTTATCTCTTAAAACTGCAATTAATTTTAAACTACAATTCATCAATATTGGACATTAATTGTATTTTTATTCAATGGTCGAAACTAAACAATGAAAGCAGATGTGCCTTTTATGAAGCTTTAACTAAGGATAGGATTCATACAAAGGAAAAAACAAACGTTTTTCTTCACTAATCATTTATCATTTGTGCAAACTGTGCATGTATAGCTCCTGTTGTTAGTTGAAAAACACGATGCCTTGGAACCTACTCAAAAGACAGTTGAACTAGGATAATACGAAAAACGTATGATGTGTATTCTTATTGTACCTAAAAATGTTACATATTTTTGATACAGCATGGTTTGGCTACTAAAATGAAGGTCAGAAAGTAAGATTTATACAAACGAGAGAAAAGGGCCCAATAAGGTACCGTTCGAAAATTTATGATTCAACCTTTTGAAATCCACTTTCCAATTTGTTATCAATTATGTCAAATGTCAGTTTCTATATTTGAAAATTGCTAATAGATGTTCATTATTATGCATATTCCACTCATTAAATTGTTATATGTATCATAATGAAGTAATAAATATGCAATAAGCTCATATGAAAAATAGCTTATTTGCTTATTTATTATGACGCCGTATGATGTGTATTTTTATTTTATTTACCAAAAAATGGTACGATATTGTCGTCTGCTTGGCGGGCGGGTGACGTTTCATTGTTCTTGTCATCGAGATTCTAGGAAAACCACGTCATGGATTTACTTCAAATTTTCAGACTTATTACATGGAAAGAAGTTCTAGAGCTGAACTTTTCGATGGCCATCTTGCATTCTGGCGGCCATCTTGGATGTTTTTAAGATAAACATCGTCATCACGAAAATCCAGGAAAACCGCTCAACGGATTTATTTCAAATTTGTACACATGTTACATGGTTAGAAGTCCCAGAGCTGATAAACTTTTCAACGGCCATCTTGCATTCTGGCGGCCATTTTGGAAGTTTTTAGATAAATCTTGCTCACTTTATTCTAGAACAATCACTGTGCGGATTTTCATAAAATTGTATACTTATTTCATCGTAAAAAGTTGTAGATCTTATAAACGTTTCTTGCATTCTGGCGGCAATTTTTAAGTTTTTAGATAAATCTTGCCATCGCTTTTCCAGGAAAACCACTGAGCGGATTTACATCCAATATTTACACATGTTACATGGTAAGATGTTCTACAGCTGATAACATTTTGGTTGCCATATTCTGGGTAAACACACTGCTTGGGGTACAATATTGTTCACCCTGTGTCTTGTTCTACATAGCACTCATATATTTAAACGCATTGTTGATTGATATTGTAAAAGTTACTATAAGACAATGGCTGGAATATGTTAGCACTAATGCTAAAGGGTAAGAACCAAACATTGTTCAGAACACAGTAAGAAAAAGAAAACATTTGGTGCACTGATCGCCAAATATATGCTAACACTCTTAGACTTTTGCGGCTAGGGGGTATTTTATCCTACGTTTGAGATACAGGGTGTCCGGAAAGTAAAGATACAAATACTCTAACTTCAATAGATTTGCCTCTTGTGAGATGAAATTGTTACAGATTGTAGAATGATATTTCAACAATATATCCTGTAACTGTCATGACATATAGTTCCAAAATGAAAAAGTTATGGTAGTTATGGTAACAGAAGTTGGGGGTATGTGGAGCAGCGTCAAAATTAATTTTTATTATCTTTTATAAATCTTTTTCCTACTCATATCATCTTGGCACTCAACCCATTTGTTCCTATAAAACACCAAATTATGTCTCACAGCAACATGAGGATTAGTACTCTAATGCTATTTTATCATTTAACATGACTACTATTATCCAGTATTATGTTTTCCCCGCATTATCTATATGTTCATGGTGCATCTTGACCAGAGATTCAAAGACCGGACAAAACCGCTGCTGTCCATCTCTAAAATTGCAGATAACATTGACTTCCAGTTGAGTCTCATTTTAATATTGAAATTCTAACAAATATCGCTTTGAGATGCTCATTAAGGCAGAAGTCTAAAGGGGCTTTTTCAGGTAAATATGGGGCATTGTACAAAAAGACTTAATAGTCCCCGATCTGATTTCCAAAAGGGCTCTAGAAAAGGGGTTTTGTTGTCCGGTACTTTCCCACATAAAATGATTGTGCCGTTTGAAAGAACAGACTTCCCTCTTAAAGAAAACACCTCTTCTATTGATGTAAACAGGGGCAAAAGGCACCAAAACGGAGTTAGACAAGGTGGCATTCTGAAGTCTCACTTTCTTGTCATCACGATTCCAGGTAAACCATCAGACGGATTTACTTCAAATTTTCACACATGTTACATGGTAAGAAGTTCTAGAGCTGATTAACTTTGCGGCGGCCATCTTGCATTCTGGCGGCCATCTTGGAATTTTTTTCAGATAAATATTGTCGTCGCGATTCCACAAAAACCACATAACAGATGTACTTAAAATGTTCACACATGTAACATGGTAAAAAGTTCTAGACCTCATTTTTTTTTCGGTGGCCATCTTGCATTCTGGCAGCCATCTTGGAAGTTTAAAGATAAATCTTGTCATCAGGATTTCAGGAAAACCAAACGGATTTACTTCAAATTTTCACACATATTACATGGTAAGAAGTTCTAGAGCTGATTAACCTTTCGGTGGCCATCTTGCATTCTGGCGGCCATCTTGGAAGTTTTTTTGGATAAATCTTGTCATTGTGATTCCAGGAAAACCACTTTACTGATTTTCTTGAAACTTTTACACATGTTACAAGGAAGGTTACATTCTACCTTTTATATTAATATAAACAGGGGCAAAAGGCAGTAAAGTGGGGTTACAAAAGGTGGTATTCTAAGGAGAATGTTATCCATTTTTCTGTATTTTAAACCACATAATTTGACATAAATGCATATTTGGTGTATGATATCATGTTTTATATTGATAGAAACATGGGCAAGAGGCGCTACAATGGGGTAACACATGGTGATATTCTAAAATACATATTTTTACTCTGCTTCCCTTATAAAAAATTCAACCTTGAAAGTCCGAATTGAAACCGTTTCCACCAATCATTGAATAATGATTGTTTCAACTACCAAGATCAAAGGAAAAACCATTGTACAATGATACGCAATCATTGTGCAACCATTGTGTTCAACCAAGCGAAGTCAACTCTTTTTCAACGAATGCGCAACCGTTTCTATACAATCATTGTAATCTGAAACCATTGTTAACTGCAACCATTTCACATTGAAATGTAAATGGTTGCAATATGTTTTGTTCAATGATTACATAGTTCAACCCCTGCAACCATCCTGAATTAGTATCGTTCCAAAAAATTATCATTTTACCTGAATTAAAATTATCTTAAAGTAAGGATTTGAATCTACCTCTATTAAACAATAGTATATTAGGATATTTTTTCTGCAAGCATACATGCATGTTTATTATAGTAAATAACTTAATTCATGTTAATATGTTTCTTTCTCCAGTACGAATTTAGGAATGCGATACCAGACTAGTTTTCCACTCAATGGCATATGATAATTTATGTTCTCTGTCATTTACATTATTTACACAAATTAAAAGTACCATATTTAGTGTTTTTTATCACACCATCGGTGGGATATAGTCGTCATACTGGTCGTGATCGTGATCGTGGTCGTGATCGTGGTCGTGGTCGTGATCGTGATCGTGATCGTCCCGCTTTTTGTCATCGCTGTTTAAGGAAAACTGCTCATCAGATTTTCTCCAAATTCGCAGAGATGATAGAGCATATGAAGTACTAGAGCTGATTAACTTTTGGGTGGCCATCTTGTTTTCTGGCGGCCATTTTGAAGGTTTTTCGAAAAATCTTGTCATCGCCATTTCAGGAAAACCGCTCATTGGATTTCCTTCAAATTTACACAAATGATAGAGGATATCAAGTACTAGAGCTGATTAACTTTTGGGCGGCCATCTTGTTTTCTGGCGGCCATTTTGAAGATTTTTTGAAAAATCTTGTCATCGCCATGTTAGGAAAACCGCTCATTGGATTTCCTTCAAATTTACACAAATGATAGAGGATATCAAGTACTAGAGCTGATTAACTTTTGGGTGGCCATCTTGTTTTCTGGCGGCCATTTTGAAGGTTTTTCGAAAAATCTTGTCATCGCCATTTCAGAAAATCCGCTCATCGGATTTCCTTCAAATTTACACACATGATAGAGGATATCAAGTACTAGAGCTGATCAACTTTTGGGCGGCCATCTTGTTTTCTGGTGGCCATTTTGAAGGTTTTTCGAAAAATCTTGTCATCGCCTTTTCAGGAAAACCGCTCATCGGATTTCCTTCAAATTTACACAAATGATAGAGGATATCAAGTACTAGAGCTGATTAACTTTTGGGCGGCCATCTTGTTTTCTGGCGGCCATTTTGAAGATTCTTGAAAAATCTTGTCATCGCCATTTCAGGAAAACCGCTCATTGGATTTCCTTCAAATTTACACAAATGATAGAGGATATCAAGTACTAGAGCTGATTAACTTTTGGGCGGCCATCTTGTTTTCTGGCGGCCATTTTGAAGGTTTTTCGAAAAATCTTGTCATCGCCATTTCAGAAAATCCGCTCATCGGATTTCCTTCAAATTTACACACATGATAGAGGATATCAAGTACTAGAGCTGATTAACTTTTGGGCGGCCATCTTGTTTTCTGGTGGCCATTTTGAAGGTTTTTCGTAAAATCTTGTCATCGCCATTTTAGGAAAACCGCTCATCGGATTTCCTTCAAATTTACACAAATGATAGAGGATATCAAGTACTACAGCTGTTCAACTTTTGGGCGGCCATCTTGTTTTCTGGTGGCCATTTTGAAGGTTTTTGGAAAAATCTTGTCATCGTCATTTCAGGAAAACCGCTCATCGGATTTCCTTCAAATTTACACAAATGATAGAGGATATCAAGTACAAGAGCTGATTAACTTTTGGGCGGCCATTCTTGTTCTTGAAATTTGTAAACATAATAGGAGAACAGTTTTCCTGGTTCATAGTGTCTGCCTATTTGATGGTGTGATCTCGTTCACGTCCTGTGCCTTGTTTCCCTTTATCAGATATTGCCAAAATGATGTTAATTATGAATTAGAATTGAGCAAAATTCCAATTTGGTTAAGAAATTGACCAAGGAACATCTTAAGATTTCCTTTAAACTTAACAAAATCACAAGATGAGACACAATGGTTTTTGTTCATGATCAGACTGATGATCAAACAATACCTACTACATATTGATATTCTCATGGGCTTAGGCAAATCAGAATGCTTGAACAGCCAATTAAAACGGTTGAACAGCTAATTAAAACGGTTGAATAGCTAATTAAAACGGTTGAACAGCTAATTAAAATGCTTGACCAGAAATAGGGTTCATATTCCTAGTTTCTGTTATATTTATTTTCATATTGTGTTATACTATATATATATTTTTTATTCTCTATTTCATGCAGAGGGGGGGGGGGTAAAAATTTGAAAAGTGTTTTCAGACTTTTGAGGGTTTATTTCTTTATTCAATTACTTTAATAAGTGCTGAGAAATCTCAAATAGCAAGTATGTGAAACTGCAAATACTATTTTCAGAATTTTTTATTTCATTTTTATTTAGTTTTTTTTTACCATGGGCATTCAATAAATTGAAAGTTCATGGCTTTACTGTATTCACTAGGGCATAGCATTTGTACTTGAAACTTGTTTTAAACAGTTTAAATAATATGTGTCAATGATTAAAAACAGGGCTTATTTTTCAAAACTCTCAACTTGAAAAAATCTGGAGGAAAATATGGGAAATTTTCTTTGGCAAATTATTTATCATGTTCTGTGACAGTGTATGGAATAATTAAATTACATAGGATGCTTCCTTTATAGCAGACTCTAATCAAACTGAGAGTCTCTCTGTTATAAGGTTTGTTTTGCCTTGCCAAATTATTTTTGTTTTGTTTATGGATTAATGGATTAATAACGTTTCTTAAGACACATCCTTCAAAGCAGACTCTAATCAAACTAAAGAGACTGAGTCTTTCTGTAATCAGAATTTTTTAAGTTATGCTTATTGACTTAATTATTTAAAACACATCCTGTAATGTCTGATTGCATTTTCTCTATCAAATCAAAAATATCAAATCAATAAACAGATTATTTTCTGATAATTACTCAGGTGAAGGTGAAGTATAAGTGTCTGAATTTGTAAAATCAAAATTATTTCAAATGTTTTTGCCATAACTTAAAATGTAGTGAAGGGATTTTGTAAAAATGATTGTCATGACAGCGAGGGGATTTGCTATGCCTTAGCATTGCTGTTATCTAGATAATATACATGTGAGTGGGACAATCACCATCCTTCAAAGTTAGATGGAAATTGGTTCAATATATTTTCATTCACAAGACAAGTTTACTAAACTATTTCAATACTTTAAATATCTTTTTGATCAAAAAAATTTAAATTCTGATATTTATGCATGAAATACATACATTTGAAATATATATTTTAAAGAGCAATATAATTATTTTATGTTGTATTGAGATAATATTGCCATAGGTTTAAAGGGTTGCATTCGATTGAAACGGTTGCAAGAAATTCAATCAAAATTGTCAAGCGTTTACAATGCTTACATATGATTGAAACATTTTCAATGAGTTTACAACCAAAATTGTAATGGTTGCATTGTAACGGTTGGCATGGTTGCATAAATGATCGGATCAATGATTGTACAATGATTGTGCAATGGTTTAAATTCGGACTTTCAAGGTTGAATTTTTTATAAGGGTTCTGTACTTTATACCACTTAAATGCATTTTGTGTATGACATCGATTGATTTTTAGAATAAATAACTACATTTCATCAAAAAGAAAAAAGATTATTGAAAATGTCAAACATTTCTTTGAAATCCATTATTGCACAGCGATTTTTGAGAGCGAAATGTATGCTAAATTGGCCTTGATCTGAGTATATAGCGGAATTAAAGCTCTTTTAAACGAAAATGTAAATGTTTGGAAAACCTTTCACTGTGCATCATGTCAACGAAATGTTCTTCATGCAGTTGAATTATCTTCTGGACAGGTGATCACACAGAAGGAGAGACCTGCGTATCATATCCTTACTAAATATAAACAAAAATGACAAATGAGAAAGGAAAAAAGTGTAAAGCAACCTAGTGGGCAAAGCAAACTGTATCCAGAATGTTGCGAGTTCGAGACACATGTGCTCTTTGCGTTTAATAATCAACAAAAATCACTTAAACCTGCACTTAAACTGTGTGTCAGATCGATATAAGTATAGGGTTTGGAAACTAATTGTACCAACAAAAAGAACTTAAAAAACACTGCTACAATATCAACATAAACTTTCAATAGTAGTGACGATGCAGAAACATGCAAAATGTCACCACACCTTGTTCAGTATACAGTACACATTAACTACTGAACAGTGTCAAGATAAACGTTCGAAGCTATTACAATATGTCACCCAATCACTAGTGGTGGTGACATAAAAATAATGTATAGAAAAATCTACTGAACCAAAATAAACTTTGTGATAGAAGAACTGATTGTTTACTCTAAGTTTTCAACTAAATATTTTTCTAATCAGCAATGTTTTATCGAAAAGAAAAAATAATTTCATGTTATATAAAATCAAATAAATTAATTATATTTTTTTTCGTTGTGTTAGTTACACCAGTAATAATAAACCTGTTTATAAAGTGGTGTTAACTAGACTATAGAATTTAACAGTCATAAAACCTAAAAATATATACCAGTCAGGGACAATTGTGAATGTAAATGTATAAAGTGTGAAAATTTGAAGCAAATCTGTAAAGTGGTTTTTCTGGAATCGTGATGACAAGATTTATCTACAAACTTCCAAGATGGCCACCAGAATGCAAGATGGCTATCGGAAAGTTAATCAGCTCCATAACTTCTTACCATGTAACATGTGTGAAAATTTGAAGTAAAACTGTTACGTGGTTTTCATGGAATTGGGATGACAAGATTTATCTAAAAACTTCCAAGATGGCCGATGGAATGCAACATGGCCACCGAAAAGTTAGTCAGCTCTAGAACTTCATACCATGTAACATGTGTGAAAATTCAAAGTAAAACTGTGAAGTGGTTTTTCTGGAATCGTGATTACAAGATTTATCTATAAACCTTCCAAAATGGCTGTCAGAATGCAAGATGGCCACTGAAAAGTTAATCAGCTCTAGAACTTCATACCATGTAACATGTGTGAAAATTTGAAGTTAATCTGTTAGGTTGTTTTCCTGGAATCATGATGACAAGATTTATCCCAAAATATCCAAGATGGCCGCCAGAATGCAAGATGGCTGCCGAAAAGTTATTCACCTCTATATTTTCTTACCATTTAACATGTGTAGAAATTTGAAGTAAATCCGTTTGGATTTACTGAAATCGTGATGACAAGATTTATCTTAAAACTTCCAAGATGGCTGCCAGAATGCAAGATGGCCACCAAAAAATAATGAGGTCTAGGACTTTTTACCATGTAACATGTGTGAACATTTGAAGTACATCTGTTGTGTGGTTTTTGTGGAATCGCGATGACAATATTTATCTGAAAAAAATTCCAAGATGGCCGCCAGAATGCAAGATGGCCGCCACAAAGTTAATCAGCTCTAGAACTTCTTACCATGTAACATGTGAGAAAATTTGAAGTAAATCCGTCTGATGGTTTACCTGGAATCGTGATGACAAGAAAGTGAGACTTCAGAACGCCACCTTGTCTAACCCCGTTTTGGTGCCTTTTGCCCCTGTTTACATCAATAAAAGAGGTGTTTTCTTTAAGAGGGAAGTCTGTTCTTTCAAACGGTACAATCATTTTATGTGGGAAAGTACCGGACAACAAAACTTTTTTTCAGAGGGTCCAGATCAGGGACTATAATGTCAAGACACTCGATTTTGAGATTTGTTGGCCATGCTTTCTGAATTGGTGCTGTGTGGAGGTGGAATATTGACTTTCCCTATTAACCCAGGGAACTTTTATTCTAAGCACTTGTATAATATTTCTTTGATTATACTGATGACATAACATAGTCCTGACATGTATCAATGACACCAATATACATAAGAGAACATAATAGCAACAATAATACAATATTGAAGAAAACAAAACATTGATAGAAAACACAATGATGAACACTTTTTCAAATGGTTATATTTTAGCAATTAATCAGATTTTAGCGATGTTCTGGAACTGCTCCACATACCCCTCACCTCCGTAACCATGACAACTGTAACTTGAACCAGTTGAGACTATATTAGATGAGAGTTGGTGGAAACATTGTAATAATGTTCCTCTACAATCTGTAGCAATTTCATTGCAAAAATCCTAAATCTCTTTAAATTAGAGTATTTGTATCTTTACTTTCCGGACACCCTGTATGTACGGAAATTAGGTCAAAACAAAAAGTTCTAAAAATGCAACGTTTGAGGTGTCAAAATAATGGGAAATTTCTGAAGTCAGGATTGAAATCTGACTTCCAGTTAAAATTCTTTTATGTTTTAAAATCTTGAAAAGTCGACATAATGATATGCTCATGTTAAGTCAATAGTGCGAACGTGATCAGCAACCCACATTTTAAAATTGTCATCTAATTTTTAAACTTTCCACCAGTTGTTCACAATATTTACGCCATGTGCCTCAAAAAGTTTAGTAATATCATACACAATTTTAAAATTGGGTATGACTAATAAAGGACCATGTACCTTTTTTATTCTTTGCAAAGAGTACAAAAAATATTTTACAATGGGATTTATTACCTTTCCTTCCTGAACATGAATATCCCACGAACAGTTCATAACATCCATATAGTATAGAGCCTCCTCACGAAGGCACGTAAAACCAAGCGTTGATATTTCCCCTGTGCTCTCGAACATCTGTCGGTTTGTACATACATCTATCTGGCTTATTGAATTATTGGTTGATTCTACAAATACATGTATGTATGTATATCGGGTGTCCCCAAAAAATGAATCGGATTTTGACAATATTTTCTCGGCAATTGATCAATCAAATTTACAGAAAATCTGTACAAAGTAGCCCCGGAGTAGCATTAGCAAGTTGTCAAAATATAGAAAACATCAAGTGAATATAATGCGAGAACTAAAAATTCAAAATAGCATGTCAAAAAACCCCATACCCTAGCTCTGAGATAGGGACCTTAGTAGTTGTTAATTGGGGGCTTTCAATCCTCGTTAATACAGAACCCTATGGGAGGTGGTTATTGTCGAATAGGTGGGTAATAAAGGGTATTCCCCGTTTTTCCTCAACTACGTCATCGAGGGGATTTCCATATTTCACCAATCTGGTTTTATGTTTTATAACCATGGGTATTCCCCGTTTTCTTCAACTACGTCATCGAGGGGATTTCCATATTTCACCAATCTGGTTTAATCCGGTTTTATGTTTTATAACCATTTTGTATAAAAGAATGCAGATTTTTAACTAGGGGTCAACTCGAGTTATTAGGAGTGTAATTAAGGATATTCTTTTCGTTTTTTAGAAAACTTTGATAAAAAACAACATTATGTGATAAATGTTAATCAGTGTATCAGGGCATTTAATATGATGATGGTATAATAGGGAGATTATATGGATTATACAAGTTTATACTTGTAATTCAGAATAGTATGATTTTACTTTTTACAATCTCTCTCCTTATTCTCATGGTTGAATCTCCCTGGTATCTTGACATCACCACAGTGTGACTTAAACATAACACATTCATTAAAGTATATATTTATATATTTTATACTTTTATTTACATAAAATATCAAAGACTATACATAAACATTTTATAATTACAATGGTGTTATGTCAGAATCTTTCACCCATGAATCAAACTTCTTAGGCCAAAATTTCCATCGAACAAAATGTTCCTTTTGGCCTCTCCTTGTTCTAGTTTTTAAAATTTTCTCAACTTTCCACAATTTATCTTCATCAATATGTACCCTTTGAAGCTCTGGTTGATAGAATGTCCCAGTGATCTCGTCACCATTATAATCTTTTAAAAGATAGATTGGTAATCCTTGTCTGATAAATCTACTGGCTACTTTGAATATTTCACCTGTCCAATGCTCATCATATTCTCGACTAAATATAGATCTTTCTTGGGTGATTCTTACCAATGCTCCAATGGGAAACTTGAAAATTTGATTTGATTTAGTTTTTACAACAACTTTAGGATAATACATTCGCCACCAAATAGTCATTTCATCATTTTTATTTACATCATTAGGGTCCATATTTATCCCCCTATGCCAAGTGTCATTGTAGCTGTTTACAAAACTCTGCATTTTGTCTACAAATCTATAATTTTGTTTATATGTTACATATCGTTTGATTTTAGTGCGAATAGTCTTAATAAGTCTCTCTGCATAATTTGCTTTTGGGGAATTTTGTGTCACAAAATGTCTTACACCCCATTCTTTGAATAGTCTCTGTGTAGTATGGGCTTTGAACTCTTGACCTTTATCAGATCTTATAACTTCAGGTTGTCTGCCTTCTTTAAATATATCATCAAACGCAGCAGCTACCGTTTGTCCTCTCTTGTCTTTCAGAGCTCTCAGCCATGCAAAGCGCGACATAATGTCAATGACAACTAATATATATCTGTATTTGTCATTCCATTTAGCCATGTTGGATACATCCATCAAATCAGCATCCCATTGCTGGTCAATGTGAGACACATAGACTTTATTTCGACGGAATTTCTGTTGGTATGGTCTTTGTAAGCTATAGGCTTCTTGGTTGTCTAACCATTTTTTCACTCTATAACGTGAAATGTCCAATCCCTGCTCTTGTGCAGCTCGGTACAGTTTTTCTGGACCGCTGAAACTAGCAGCATTGTGAGAATGGAAATAAATATTCGCCAGCTGATCCTTCCAGGACATCATTCCTCATTGAAAACTCTTTTTATTATGATGATAAGTAGTTTGTTCACAGTTTATATTTGTGGTGATTATTCATTGTCTGAATCAGTCTCTCCATCAGATTCTGCTTCACTATTTGATTCATCTCCAGAGTCTTGGCTAAACAGTTCATCAAATTCATGTTTGTACTTGGACAACACCCTCCTAATAGCGACTTTCTCTGATACATCATTTGAGAGCCTCTTTTGAATAGCATCCATGATCTTTCTATGCATTGTACTCTCTTCAATGTGTATATAGAGTTTGATGAAATGTCTGTATTTATCCAAGAATTGATTAATATCCTGAGTCTTTAGTTTTGCTTCTGCTTTTTCTACTGCTTCCTGTTCTGTTAAACCATTGTTAAAATACTTATTAACTTTACTCTGAAAGTCTTTTTCATTGTCTTTTTTTGCATTCGCTTTAAAATAGAGATAAGTACTGTTTTCTCTTATATCTTCATCATCTTCAGCTGCACTTTCATTATCATCACTATCATCATCACTATCGCCAAGAGATTCCCACTTGGTTGAATGGTTAGAATTTTCTACATCATTTTCTGAATCAATCTTTATCTTTTTAATAGCTGGCAACTCATTCTGTTCTGGACACCATTTTCGTATATGTCTTTGCAGATCATGAAGACTCTCAAAGACAACACCACAATCATCACAAGATACCATGTTGTCTTCTCTATTGCAATGATCCAAATGAGGAAAACCCCGAGGGATACTGCTATTTATTTCAGTTGAAGTTTGTAGCACTATGTCATCATCAACATGCTTTTTTATTGGTTGGATTACGTGAGAATAGTCTTCTGCTTTATCATCAGCAAATGTAAATGCGTTCGGTTTCAACCGCTCATGCTCTGGTGTCTCTTGCTTTAAATCCAATAGAAGATAACCATAGGGTACATTAGTAGCATTGTTGTATGCTCTCAGAAGTTTTCCACCACTACCTGGATACATCTGCCTTGATAAATGTGCCACCTGCTGACGATCTCTTGGATTATTGAATAGAATCAAATAGTGTGAGTTCAGACTCATTGTTCTGTTTTCCTTTCCTTGATGGTACATGTTTTGCATGAGACAAATCACAGATAAATTCCGATGGTGGCTTCCTTTTGTATAAAGATCAGAAATGCGTTCATCTTTAGTCGCTGATGTCATGAGGTCATCTAAGACAAGGAGATTGGGTGTGGTCATATTGAGGAATCTCGGGTTGTCTAATTCATCAGGTATTCCATGAATGAACTCTAAACCAGGATAGCTCTTCATTTCTTCATAAGCTGGTTGCCATTGGCCGTAGCACCAAATGATTCTCTTGGGAGTTGGGGTTATGTATTTTCCTACATGTTTAATTAGCTTCTTCATCAACCACGTTTTGCCTGACGATGTTGGACCAGCTGCAATCAAAGTGAATGGATGTTTTAATACAATATCTGACTTAACATCTCTGACATCGTCATTATAAGTTCTATGGAGTTGATTCATATGTCTGCTCAAATTATTCTTTCTTGTGAAGTCCATATTACATTTTAAGCAAGTAAAAGACATGTTGCTCCTTCAAGATCTTATTTTAGAATGAACATAATCTAGAACACCTGGGCTTAAATTTACATATTTTCATCCTGTAATCTGATTGATTCAATAAATCAGCATCAACTTATCAAAATGGCTATACCAGTGAGAATATGATTGAGATGAAGAGGGGGAGGAGGAGGAGGAGGAGGAGGAGGAGGGAAAGAATGAGAGGAGGTATAAGAGGAGTACAACGAGTAGAGAAGATGGAAAGATAAGTATATTGTATTCTCACATTTGAATTCTGTAATGTCCATGTGCAAGTGTACCAACTCCATCATCAAGAATAAAGCGTTTGTCATCATAGGGGTTGAGGCCAATCTTGGTTAATTCCACCATAAAGATGTCATGTTTAAATGACCTAAATTGTTTCATTGATGCCATTTTTAATTGTCTCTCCAGAATAGCATTTCGATAGTCATCGTGGGTGATGCTATTCTTTACCACTGATTTGCTAATACCCTTTGCTGTTTTCTTGACTACATCTCCCACAAGCAAAGAGTACATCTTTGGCTTAAGACCAACGAATTCCAATGGAGGTTCTCCAGCAGTCTCATCCTTGAATTTTCCAATTACCTTTTTATTTTCACTCGAAAATAATGGGTGTGAAGTCGAAAAGTTTGATGTGTCATACAAGTCTATGTCATCCTTCATATCTTTGTAGAGATCTTCAGTTTGGATGTAGTAGCACAGTGAATCTGTATCAGTGAAGCAGAGTGTGGCATTTTTACCATACTTTGGAAGTATATACCCATAGTGGTGATCGAATAGCAGCGTTTTACTGATGTCAAGGATAGTAAATCCACAGTAGATAGGTTTGTCTAGATAGAGCTTTGTCTTCAACTTCTCGACTGCCGCTAAGTCTTCAGTAAATATGCTGAATGCATGGAATGAGGGTTTGCATGCTAATCTATGAAGCCTCCTCTCCTTGTTAACCAACTCAATGTCACGACGTTTTCTCAGGTTTTCCATGGTCTTTCCAAAGACACTAAAATAAAAGAATCTGCATTAGTATAGTTAGACTTTTTTTATAAATATGTTAAATCAGAGCATTTTTCTTGAGTTATACAAATTAAACTATAATTTCTTACTTACCTGTTATTCATTAACTTGAAGAGATCTTTTTCAAAATCATTCTTGGCAAGTTTACGTCTATTGGTATTCAGATCAATGTATGACTTTAGCCACCTGGACTGTTTGAAGGTCATCACTCTATGGATTTTACGCAGTTTCAATCCATACTTAATATACTGCTGGAGGTTTCTGTAATGAACTATGTAGTTCTTTTTATCCATTAGGTTCGGTACTAGCTTTTTGCTAGGGGTACCACTAAGTGCAAGATCTTCAGCTAGTCCTTGGCAGAATGGAGATATCAAGTCCTTGTTGATAACCATTGTTTCTGGTGCTAACGGGTAATCAGAATGACTGTCATGTAGATCTTGAGGATAGTCCAGATCAACTTCTAATATGTAGCCATCTTCTGAATCTTCATCAACATCACAGATGTTCAGGTGATCAATTTCCTCTTCTTTAAGCCACTTAAAACCATGTGTTGGGAGTGGCTTGCTCATTGCCCAACCATATAAATTATTTGCATCTGAAACCATAAATGAATAGGTCATTATTGAGAATATGTTATTTGTCTATGTTTTTATTACATTTTTATAGTATAATGATTTATAGTCAGTTACATTACAATGGGTTAAACAAGAGGTAATTGTCTACTCTTGACCCTCTTCTTTAGGTTTAAGTAATCAGCCTAAATTAATTAATCACAATAAGCTATATAACAAATTTGAGATTGTCAAAAAGTAACTTACCAATATAACTAATGTATGAGTTTGGTTTTGTTGGGTTATATTCGGGAAGGTATGGGTTGTTTGCTCTTGCATGTCTATGTGATATCATAGATATTCCTCCTCTCAATCCAGCTTCCACAAATAGATACATGTCAGGATCAGTAAGTAATTCGAGTCTCACCCCTGTATACTTTAGAGCAGCAGCCCAACTTAGACCTGGAAAATGTAAGGTGTCTTATAATATTTATGATTCTGATATATCCTTACATAGCATTTATTTCATAAATTTTATTTATCTACGGTCAAAGTATTATATTACTTACCTGGGGCTGTATAGTAGTGAGCAGGATCTAAACCATATAGATCGAGACACAACTCTCTAAAGTTCTCAAACACATCAGCTAGTAGAAGAGTATCTGTTTTCATATAAAGATTGTGATAATCTTCAAATCTCGTCATCTTAAAATGCGACCAAACACGTTGAGCATGGTCATAGTCTTCCTGAGTGAGGTGTTGGTCGTTGAGGTCATTGTAGAAACTGTCTTTCGAAGGAAGACCCATCTCTTCAAACTTTTCTCTACTGTCAAACCAGCTGTATGGGAACACCCCTTTTCGAAGAAGCAAAGTCAACGTTTCATCATCAGAAAATTCGTTGGATAAATTCTTGAATTTCTCTTTTCCTTCTTGAATGAGATTGTCAGTAAGTCTACCTAGCGAGGCATTGAGAAATTGGTATGAGTCAATGAAATCCATACTTCCCATTGAAAAGCTGATATACTTTTCCATATTGGTAGGTATAACTCTCAGTCGCCCATGTTGATACATTCCTATACTCTTCATTATCAAGTGAGCATCATAATTCTACAAAATATGAAAATCAGAATTAGATATATAGACTATTTCATACCTATCAATATGTATATGATACTATATTAGAAAATAGAAAATCAAAAAGAATATATATATTAACTATGTTTATATAGATCAAGATTGATTTGAGTACTATATTATATCATTTTATACAGAAGACAATTACCTTCAGGTTGTTGAAGACTACTGGGATTCTGCCTCTAAACTTGAAATTCATGTTGCATGTATTGTGTGCAGCACCTCTGAATTTCCCTGTCACATGATCGTGATCTCTGACGCGGTCATCCCCCATTGGGTTGTTGCATATGTGACAGTTCACAGCCTTACGAAAAGCAGACCAATCTTCAGGCTGCATGTCTATGGGCTTGGTGTTTTTATACCATAGGTCTATTCTGTCTTGTATTTTCACCATATGCTGTATGAATGTATCTGTCACATTCTCTCCACTATATGCTACAGATGGTTGAGTATGCTCTGATGTGGGACCCACTACTTTATACGAGAATCCAGACGGCGTATGCATGTTTCTTTTCTCAGAGTAGGACTGATTGGGATCTGGTTGACAACTTTGTATTTTCTCGCAGCAACTTTCAAAGTCGGCATATACAACCCAAGGTGCTTTAAGTTGTTTTGCTGTATCTTTAAATTCCAACCACTTGTTCTCTTCAGACGGCATTTCTATCCTTTGTGGACCATACATCTTGCAATGCTCTTCATGCTTCACAAGCAGGCTTTCCTTTGAAAATCCATGAAGGCAATAATCACAGAAGAACCTCTTGCACTTATGTTTTGTGGTATGGCTTAGTAATCGGCTCATATTCTTAATGCTGCAATAATGGCTACCCCTCTTATTTGAGAAGATGATCAGATTTACATGTTTTTCCAGTTTCTGCTTTGTAATATGTAAGGGAAACACCTCTTTGTCGTATCCGAAGACATTTACTGAGATACTATTGTTAGTCTCAAATCTTGGTACATCTGTTAACTTTACAGGATAAGTTATACCATCCATTTTTAGAGACGTAGCATACTGTTTGTATTTTGATACTTGTTCAGAGTGAGTTGTTGCTGGATAAAGTGATGACAACACAGACCAGAGGAAACATTTTTTGTCTCTATTCTTCACATTGACAATTGCGCCCTTGTATCGTAGCTTAAGTGGAGTTTTGATATAGCTTGATCCTCTGATTGGTTTCCATATGATCATATGCAATGTAAATTTCATCACAAAGTCTAACTGCCAATTACTACCTTCCCGTTGATATTTTATGAAAGTGTCATAAATCTTTTTAACTGTTTCCTTCCAAGCTTCGTTGAAATCCACAGGCTTCATAGCTACGTGACAATGACCTCGGAAGTGGGGTTTAGCTATATTCATCATTTCTTTCTTTTCCTTCCTAAACTGAACTTGTATAGACCAATACCACTTTAGCCCACCTTTTCTTTTCATCTGCTTTAGAAGTGCGCCTTTAATCTTAGGTTCTTTTTCTTTCATGAATCGTAGTGGATCAAACTTTGACAAACCCCCAGCTTTAAATGTAACAGTTTTTAATGTTCCACTCACTGCTTCCTCCTCAAAGTTGCATTCTTCAAGGTCGTTATCTTGGTCGCTTTCTATTGGCGTATTTGATATCTCAGATTCTAATGTTTGATTTAAGATGTCTGTTTTATTAGGCTGATCCAAGGGCTTTGAATCAAATTGTTGTGTCTGATTTTGTGTTGGTGTCATGTCTTGATCAACACCACCACCTACTTGAACATGTGTACGCCTGTGCTTGGTTAAATTATCCTTTCTGTTAAATTTGGCATTACATTCATCACATTTGTATTCAACATTGTTATGTATAAGCTCATGTCGTGTAAATACATCCTTTCTATCAAAGGTTTTCCCACAATGGCACTGATATTTCGTGTTTTCATGCGCATGTTCCAGCCTCTTGTGCCTTGATAAAGCACTTGCGTGTCTGAATTTCTTTCCACAGTGGCACTCGTAAGTGGAATGATCTGCTGCAGGCATCTTCAGGTTTTCTTCTTAGTAGTGCTCCTTTCCAACAAATACTATGAAATGAGCAATCGGTGCTGCTATTTCATTTTATACTTAGTTTTTATATCTGGATTGATCCGGTTGGAACTGGATATATATCGAATCGTAAGAGGCATAGGAACTGTGGCTGATCACTATTGTATAAATTATTCTAATTTAATTAATCAATCAATTAGTTATTAATTGATCAATCAATGTATTTCCTCAACCCTAATTCCTGTATATCCCTGATTATCTCAAGATAGTAAAAGGCATACGTTGCTCCCAATTTAATACTGATCACTGAAGGTTTATATAGGCAAATGTGTTTGTAACATAAGTTATATGGTGGCCTTGAAGTTTTTTCGCTTCACAGCATGTTTGATTATAGGTATGCTATTTATGTAGTAAAATCTAAAATTGTATCATGTTTCTCAGGGCTTAGGTCTATCTAAATAAGGTCGAATGTATTTTATTTATTTATAATAATGATATTTCAAATAAGTTTATGTACAACATATGCAATTATTGGGGTATACGTATATATACGTAGTCTTTTACAGAAGGTGTCTTTAATAAATACTGCACCTGCTGATAAACAAATACTAGTACAGTACTTCACTTAAATTCACTGTAACACAGATAATACCGCTTAACGGTGATAAGATAAACCTGCTTGGCCTGGAATAATGTATAATTTAATCATATGCATACAAGTCAAAGTCTGTTTATTATTAGGTTGTAGTTAGTACAAGTTCAGCTGATAACTATGATTGACCTTGTGTATGGAATCTTTCTATATAGTACAGTATTTTACAATCGTGTTGGATAAAGCAAACATAACTTGATAAGTTTTAATTTACAGAATATTCTAAGCTATTCTGAAGTCATGGTTAAACCAGTTTAAACCGGAAATCCCCTCGTTGACGTAATGGACTCTTAAAATGAACAGTATTGAGTGATCATGTACTTGTTAGATATGGCATGACCTGGTAAGTTTTATTTACATTTTTATTAAACAGTCTTCACGATTTAAACCAGTTTTAACCGGACGTGGAGGGAAATCTCCTCGATGAAACGTTCTGAAATCGTCTAAACGTTCGAAAAACGTTGGTATCAACTCTGACGACACGAAAACGTTCGGAAATTCCATCGATGACGTAGTTGATGAAAACGGGGAATACCCTTTATTAGCCACCTATTACCTACCTATCCGACAATAACCACCTCCCATAGGGTTCTGTTATAGCCAACTTCTCAACATCTGGTTTATATTCTATGTTTCTATTAGACTGTACAGTAGTACATTACAAGTTAAACTATGAATGAGTTGTGAATGTGTATAACAACGTAGTAGAGCAAAACGAAAGGACTCTTAAAAATGAACCGTATTTAAGAATCATGTTGGATATAGAAATCACGACCTGGTAATTAAGTTTGATTTATTGAACAATTTTATCTTTATTAAGAGGAAACAACAAATACTTACTCTTCAATGTATTTCAATCGATATTTCTCCTAACTTAATCCAAAATCATCCTGCTTTTTTGTATAGAAATGACGCGTATGGCTTATCGTATACTACATGTACGACTACTGAGCCCTACTGACGTTATAGTCCTTGAATTGAATAATGCCTGGCTTCTAGAAAAATCAACCTCGATGTCAATCCAGACGTCGACCTTTCGTTTGTGGGGGTGTAGGAATTTGAGTCCTATAGGACTGGTTTAATAAAAGGGAGAAAACGGGGAATACCCTTTAGGGAATTCTCTTCGATGACTAGTTGATGAAAACGGGGAATACCCTTTATTACCCACCTATTCGACAATAACCACCTCCCATAGGGTTCTGTATTAACGAGGATTGAAAGCCCCCAATTAACAACTACTGACCTTCATAGTGTTTGTGCCAGCTATCAGGTGATAGCATCTGTTAATAAGCTTTGTCTTTAATTCAACAATTCTCACATAATATAGAATTTGGCTGATATATTGCTGAGAAATTACTTTTTTGGTACAAACGATGTATGCGTTACTCCGGTATGGGATTCTTTTGACATGCTATCTTGAATTTCAATTGCCGAGAAAATACTTGTCAAAAGGCGATTCACCTAGACACCCGGTATATGACTTGAGGGGCATACATGACCACATAAACAAATTACAAAAGAGAAGATACAATTTATAAAAATTCACTGGGGATGATTGAATGAGCAATTTCTCATTAACTATATTGAGTAAAGATTCAACTAAGATGTTAGGATCATTTCGACTTGCAACTACTGCTGCTACGAATATGTTAACACGGTGTTATAGCATGACGGTTACGACACCTCTGAAAACGAGATTAGACGACTACGATCACTGATTTATCCAATAAAATGGCCGCGATGGAACAGAAAACTAAGGTTGGTGCATTATTTTCTTCTACTGTATATCAATGAAAGGATGAACGATTTTTGTAGGCATCGCATTCGGTGATGCATTTAGTAATGTATATTTTAAACGCATTCTTTGCAAATTGATGCCCGGGGATAACAGGAAATGAGCGAAAAACTGTTGAGCTTGAAATTAAAAACTACACAAAATTTAGTAATTTGTTTATTTTTGTCTTTAGGGCATGGTCTACATTGCCTATGCCTCGGGGTATATAGATGTAACCTACATACGATCATAAAAAACAATTGAGCATTGGAAGCCACCTAATATGTTCTACTTAAGCCATAATATTGTATTTTTAATTTGCGGTCACGCAAAAAATGAATTGACGGTTACGCGAACCTCGTTCAAATATGTATCCCAGATTCATTGTTATTAATTCTGTCATATTCATCAGTACTTGATGCTAATTCTTCTTTTGCCTCTTCATTGCTATCTTTTTGACTTAAATTGGTTTCATAAAGCAAGACACAAATTTTTTCATTGCCCTATAGAGGCTCAAAGAAGAGCGTCTCTTGAAAGTCCTGAAAACAAATATAAGCAATTCAATATTCCATTTCTTACCCATTATAACAATTACATGGAAAGAGCCTATCAGAACTAGCAACCTTAACTTGAAAGATGTACATGCATGTAACCGTCAGCTAAATATCTAATGTACATCTAATACAGTACGTTACCGTCCATAGAATTCATACGTAGTCGTCTAACGACATTGCGTTTGAAACCTTATTATTTACAATATGTCCACGTTCCTGTTCTGGATTTGTCATTTTATGGCTTGTTTATAGACAGTTTACTTACTGTTAATAGTTTGAGTGGCTCTGAGGCACATATACAGGGTGTCAAATAAGTCTGTTCTCCCCCCTTAACTTTTTTATCTTTAAATTTATCCTACTTTCCCATATATCATATTGAAGCTTATGGAAAATGCTGGTCACCCTCAAAAAATCAATCATAAACTCCTCCTAATAAAATTACTACAATGTTTCTTGTAAGGTTGTAGTTGACCTTTGATAACGTCAAAAGAAGTAAAATTACCAGGTATAGTGAATGAAAAGTAAAATGTTGATACTGCAGTGACAATGCCAACATTGGGTGATTTCGATGTTTCTCAATATCGCTACAGAGTAAAATGTGTTACATTCAGGGGAGCTTTTGAAGCAGGGACATCTTTCATCACAAAAAAGTTGATAGCAGCCAAAATTAAATGTTCTGAATCATTTATACGGGATCATATCCTCGTAGAATTGAGACTATCCGGGCTGCTGGGGGAGACATACAGACTATTAAAAAGGTGAAATATGGACATCACTAAAAATACTATAAAAAATTTGGAATTCAATCAATCACTCTGATATTTGGTGTGTGATCAGCAAATTGAATTCCCTTTAAGATGGTATATACCAACCCTATGTTATTTCTGAATTAAAAAAATTAAGGGGGGAGAACAGACTTATTTGAAACCCTGTACTGAGAAATCACGAGAATGGACTAAAAGAATATGAACTTGGACATCTCAGTCGGTAAGTTTACACCTTATATTCCGCTTCTAGTAAACCACCTGGCAGATTTGACCCGGTCTTTATAATCATCCATTTATACGTCACCGAATGGAACTAGTTAAAAAGGAAGTCGTATCTGTGAATCTTGCCTATAGGCGGGAAAGAGGACATGCTGTCTCTCCCATCCGCCATATTTTGTTATCGTTACCGCAAAACTTTGCAAATCGCCTTGACGTAACCGTCATGGCTATAACACCGTGGTTAATGCCTTGTTCAATTATGCATACAACATGCAAATGGTTGCGTAACTGATGAGGAGTGAGTGGACTTAGACATTTGAGAGTTTTAGGCTAGTGCATAAAATCAAAATACGTACACGGATAAATTGCCCATATACAAATACATGTAGCTTCCTCACTTAAAAAGCCTTTCAGCCTTCAGTGTTTGTTTAGACTACATCGCAGTATGTGATATACAGCATGTAATACGCCACTGGTAGTAACGTAACTAGTTTTCTGATACATATTTTAATCAAGTTCGTTTAGTAAGATAGTCGGAGCTAAAACATGCGTGACATACATCATCTTCTTCAGAAACAATTCTGCCTTAGAATCAAAATGAACAGCCTAGTATGGCAGTAGACACGAGTATAATGATTTTCGTTGAGACCACCGTGAAATTTTGAATTTCGCGTTCTAAAAACGAAACTCTGAAGCTGAACGGATATCTGAAGTAGACTAATTAGCGGTTGTTTGGTATGCGCGTATGGTATGGCATGTTTGCTGTAATCAAAGAACCTAATCACAGAAGATTATTGGAATTGGTAAATGTGTAAATGCACAAATAATATAATATTTAGATGTCACTTATTTCTAATTGTGTTAATTTTTATTACAAAGTATAACCAATACCTATTACATCAAAAATACATATGTTGCTGCAAGACACCTTTATGTCTGGCTTGCTAGTTGCATTAATAGACAATGTGTTGATTGCATTTGAAAACGTCGACATATAAACAACAGAGATCTTGAAATGAAATTGAATTCGATTAATTCGTTTTAATTTTTAATGTTATTGATAACTGTTTGATAAATGATAACTTCTCGTACTTTTGCTTGACACCAAAAACACCGCAGCTTACAATAAATTATAAAATTAATTTTTTCTCTTATCGATAGCTTTATCATATCGACATAGCGAAGATATGACTTCATATTCACGATTTTTTTTCATTTTAACTTCTTCAGAAAGCAATGTGCCTGTTTAACGTCTACCTGGATGCAGTTTGTTTGAAAAGAATGTTTTTCAATATTGTTCTTTGCTGCGTATCAAAATAAATACATATCGGTATACATTACTTGTACTGTTGTGAACTGCCCTGTAGTATGCGTGAAATCCTCTCGATGTAACGGAAGAATCGGTAGAAAATTCAACATAAAGCCACGATCCCGTTGATCTATACAAGAAGGATTCTTTGAGTCCACACAACTGAATACGTTGGTGGCCATCATCTAGCTTCAAAACGTCACAATTACATTCATCGCATTTTTCTATTTCAATTTCATTGAACATAAGTTCAATCTCCTGTAAAATGCATGTGCAAAATGTATAAGGTGTACAATTAAGATGTAAGCTATATGCAAGTAAATGTTTACTCTGACTTCTCTTTTCAATGGTTCATAATACTTGGTACCATCTATAGAATTGCTTATTATGGTTTCGACTGTAAAGAAGGAACCTATTTATATGACCTACTGATTGTAGGAAAACTCAATATTCAAGCATATCTAGTAGATAAATAACATTCGAACATGACTCTATTCACGCCTTCTATAAACTGTGAACAACGTCAACATTCATCCGAGGAACAGTCGAAATCAATGCCTCGGGTCTGAACTAAGTGTTTCGTTCAGTGCATTCATTGGTCAGTTCAGGCTGTTTTGTTCTTTTCGGTATACTGACCATTAAGCCAATAACAGAGAACAATTCTTTTGATAGTGTCATTGTTTTATTTAGCGTGCGGGTGTAAAAACAAAGTTGTGTAATTAATTTGATTTTTACTTTCGGGTCATGCAAATAGCTGCGCGAAATGTTTCGTTGGAAAATATTGACCAATCAAATTTTGTCCTTTTTGAGTGCTTTTTAAGTACATATTTTTGTACCTTCTTGATTAAAGAGCGAACCACGAAAGGCTTAATTGACTCGCAAAATTACATGGACTTTGCAATACGGAATCTGGAGCCGAGTTTGGAATTTATTGATCTATTTGATGCCGATGTTTTTGATGATACCTTAGGCTATTATGTGGATATGAAAAATATAATTAAGAGTGAGGCTTCCCCGGAAGTGAAAGTGAAACGCCATAGTGAAGTATAAGAATTAGAAATCAACACGACTGCCAAATAATTCCAAGTTATCAAGATAATTTCAAATAGTGCATAGTGGGGATGGTGATCGAGACGCAATGTGATGTTTTCTTATCTTATTAGGTCTATTCATTTTTATAAATTTTCAGGTTGGTTGGCTGAAAGTTATGAGAAAGCAGTAACATTTGAGGAAATGACTCTTGATGAATTGAACACTACATTAAAGCGATTCTATTCTTCCATGAGAACATTTAAAGGCGAAGTGTAGAGTAAGTCAGGATTGGTCGCTATAGCAGCGACATCTGAATATTAACCATGACAAAAAAATTGTCGACAGGGATTTTCAGTCGGCCAATAATGTATTGAAAGGAATATTGAAGAAAATAAGGCGGGATGGTAATGAAGAAACTATTACCGCCATTTATGATTCAGATTTGATGAAACTGAACAATTATTTTGCCGTTTGGAAAGTTAACTGACAGAATTGGTGAGAAAAGTATTTTAGAAATATAGACCGAAGAGCAGGGGAAATATTGTCGAATACAACCCGCAGGGCTAGACACAAACGTTTTATGTAACCCGAACGACCGAAGGGAGTGGGTCGAAAGCTTTTGTGTCTATTTCTAAGCGGTGTATGCGAAAATATTTCCCCTGCTCTGAGGTCTGTATTACGATTCGAACATAAAAAATCACCAGAACGACAATAATTTCAGCATATTTCATTCTTATATAAAAACGATTCATTGAAACGATTCATGTTATAATCAGAGGGTTCTGTTTCAATAGTTTTTATAATACAGGGCGTTAAATAAGTATTGCTAATTTTGTTATAACTTTCGTTATCTTGCATATTTCTTCATGACACTTTTTCAACATAAGCAACACATATCTGACCTTATTTTATCCAAATTTTTGGACAACCAACTTAGTATTGACAAAATTATGGTTACTAGGGTAACCATTGTCACGGATACGTGGGGCAACCTTAAGGGTTTACATGATGAATTATTGTTATACATCAAATAAACACTTTGATAAATAAAAACTGTTGATATGGTCAAATCTTGATGCTGTCAGTTTGAATTATATGTATTATCTAACAGCGGTGAAACGAGATCCGAGAGGAATATCACACTAGAATCTCAAGCAGCGGATGACTGCAGTGAACACTGCACATCCCTGGCCACACACTTCAACGTCCTCAAAGAGCAATATCGACCTATACGGTTCACCAGGATAACGCCCCTGCTCACAGATCCTATATTCTCCTAAATACATTAACAGAGCTTGGCATGGAAGCATTGCCCCACGCAGCATATTTCCCAGATAAGACCCCACTTGATTTTGTTGTATTCACCTCAGTGAAAAGGGATCCGAAAGGAATATTGCACCAAAATCTCAATCAGCCGATGTCTGCAGTGAACACCTCCCTAGCCACACACTTTAAGGGTAGCTTCAAAGATGTGTACCACGAGTGGGTCGCCAGACTGCAACTGTGAATTGACGCTCAGAGTACCTGCCTATTTTGAGCACCTTATGAAGTTAATATGGATCATGAAGTGACTCTGGCATGGATTATTTATAACACTGCATATCCCAAGAGCTAAACGGCATTGAATGATACTGCTTTCAACACTCAAAATGTCGTCAAAAGTGACGTCAGAAATTTGCCCCGCATATCCATGATACTGGTTACCTTAGTAACCATAACTTTGTTAATACTGATTTGATTGTCCTAAAACTTTCATAGAATAAAGTCAGATATACGTGCCTTAAGTTGTGAGAGTTTCATGAAGACAAAGCAAACAGAACAAAAGTAATAGCAAAATTAGCAATACTTATTGAACGCCCTGTATATATTTGTTAGTATGATTATGTGTATAATCCTGCATGTCAGAGTGCATAATCCATATTTACTCTTTAAAGATTCTCGCAATCTTTATCCAATCAGCGTTTGTGAGTGTGTCGGCTCACGTATAAAAGGCGAATCCAACTCAAATCCATGCAGGGGTGTATGAGGTACTCGAATAGGAAAGAGCTCGTGAAATCTGAATTTATATGCACATGGTCAATGTTTACACATGTTTGGAGTTATTGAACAAAATGAGATATGGGTGTGGTTCCGAATTTGAAGTCATTGCTGGAAAATATGATTTTAATACGTGAAATTATATCTATAAATACAGCACTAAAAATAACAGTACACATGAAGTACATGTATGATGTTCAGAAATGTTTGAAACCCTTACGGAAAATTCTGTCTGCATTTTGTCACCATTGCTCTTTCTTCCCGCATTCTAGTGCTGTTTGAATGAATATATTAATTAATGTATTTCTAACTAAAATATATCACTTTTTTTATAAACCACAAACATTTAGATCATAAAAAATTTATTCAATACTTGAGTGAGCACGATATGCAAGGGTTACTAAGTTGAAACAGTAAATGACCACTGATATTGTGTTAGTCCATGCACACATCGTATTCTGCTAATACACTTTGCTAAGTGACTAATTGGTTTATGTTTACGTTTTAATGTGTTTTGGGTTCCTTGTTACAGCAAGGGGGACCAGTAAAGTAGACTAACATGTTTGCATGGCAAGTTTTGATCGAATATGTGAGACACTTTAAACAACTTTTAATGTAAGTCTGTATCTTTAAGAACTTGGTTTAAGTAAACAAAGATCTTATTGGAGAATGCGAATGCTGGAGCCTAAATATAGCTCAGGCTTATTGAATATATGAGATGGTTAGATACTTAAAAAGAGAGTTTTTGCATTTGGGGAGCTGATGCCTCCAGTCCCTTCGGGGCCAAGTTGAGTTTTTGAAGTTTAGGAGCTGAGGAAGCAGAATTGAAAGTTATTATTGGAAGCTTCTAATGTAATAAGATTGTAAATCTATATATTGAACAAACGAAATAAAATACTATAACATTATAGTGGACATTGTTGGTGTTTAAAGCCTGAAGACAACAATAACATTTCAACAACACAATAAAAAGATATTAAAGGGTAACCATTTATCGTAGTTATAACAATTCCCATCATCAATATTGAAGAAATAATTCAAAATGTTGATGTGTAGATTACGTAATTTGTTTCTATTTCTAAAGAATAGCGTCAATAGAGACCTAGAACATACAATCAAAATTTGTTCCATATGATTTTCTGTAGCAGTGCCGTATTCGTTGACACTTGAATAAACCGGTGAAATCCACATTCCAGCTTTAAATCCGATTGACTCCCTGGGCACTTGCCCAGTTTGCCGACGATCGTGTGCTCGTGTCACTTGACAGGGTTTTCCCTCGATTGTCGCTATCAAACTCAATTGTGCTAGATTCTGACAGTTTGCTACTGTTGAGCTTGTCAATACATCATCAATACTAAACCAGAAAGTTGATCTCCAGATATAAATTAGATAAGATGTAAGATATTCTATAATAATTTATAATGGGACATTTACTACTGATTGTTCGGGGGATAATTAATAATTAACAGGATCTTAAGAGGTTCTGGACAAATCATTTGATTCTGGACTTGTCTTTTTTTTTTCAACGGAATCACATCCAAGGGTTGTATTTTTATTAGCTATTTAGAGAGTGAGTCCTGCCTAGTATTAATTTCAATAAAAAAGTTAAAATAGAACCCTAAAATAGAACCCTATCTAATACTTACATTACATTGATGAATTAAGGCAAATCCTGAAATAAGTGCATTTTTTTATGAAATATTATCAAGCAAGTATTTAGATGAAACGGTCTTATTTAAATACAAATCATAACATGATGATATTTTTCATGAAACATTTTTCAATGAAATTCAATTGAAGGGTCAAGATAAAACGAGCTAATTTAGGTGAAAACCCTTACATGATGATGTGTTTTCATAACTTCTTTCATAAAATTCCATCAAGGGGTGAAGATAAAATGATCGAATTTAAGTGATTTAAGGATCACGAGAATATGTTTTCAGTCAAGA